AAGTGAATCTACATGGCAATAAGAGAAAAAGTAATATTCCAGAAATTAATCAAAATGAGTATGTACATTTAAATTAAAACAAACAAACAAAAGCATGGTTTGGGAAAATATGTGTTTCTCTCTCAACATTCTAAAATGAATTTTCTCCAGTTCAGTGAATGCAAGTATTACAATTTTATTTTTTATGTGCTGTCTCCCAGAATTTCTTTAATAGAAGTCTCTTGAAGAAGCATAATTAAATAACAAAATGATGCAATAAAAGAAATTTATGCTTACCCCAAAGCATTATACATCATTTATTCCAAGACAATTGAGAACAACAGATAAAATACAGTAGCCAATGATTTAGAAAATGGCCCTAAAGAAATATAAGTACCACAAATGTTCCAAATTTAAGGAAGCTAAAGAAACGTGACAATCACATGCAGTGAATGACTCATGACTAGATCTTGTACTAGAGAAAAATGAACATAAGGAATGTTACCAGGTAACATGAGAACATAAATGGCTGATTAGATCTACATAACTGCAGCAGTGTCAAATTTCCCTGAAGTCCCTAACGACTGTGGAGAGAACCTCTGTTTCTAGGAAAGACATACTGAAATGTTAAGGGGTAGAGCGCTCCTATTCTTAAATGGTTCGGAAGAAAGATTACATGTGGATATGATCTATGTAGGCGTCCAGAGAGCACAGTTGCTAAAAGCAACTGCGAGGACAGCAGTTCAAATCCACCAGTAGCTTCCAGGGAGAAAGCTGTGGCCATTGGCTCCGGACAAGATCAGCGCCTTGGAAACCGTATGAGGTTTCCTACTCTGTCCTGTCGGGTTACTAGGAGCCTGACTCGACTTGACAGCGGTGTGTCTGGTTGAGCTGATCTACCTACACGTCTACCTGCCTTATTATGTAGCCCTCTATCCAAAATGAACACAAGATAAAGCAAATGAGAAGAGACTGTAACAGGAAGTACAAGTGCACACGAAGTGCTCTTTGTGTTATGTGTTCTTATCCTTGCAGCTTGTTTGTAAGATTGAGATTCTTTCCAAATAAAACAAAAACAAACCAAAAAACCCCCACACATTGCCATCTAGTTGATGCCAACTCATATCAACCCCGAAGGACGGGGCAGAACTGCTCCTGTGACTGTCCGAGACTGCAATTCTTTACAGGAGTAGAAACCCCATCTGTCTTCCATGAAACAGCTGGTGATTTTGAACCACTTACCTTTGGGATCTCAACCCAACTGCCACTACGCCACCAGGGCTCCTCTATTTCCAAAGAACAACTTAAAAATATTTTTTCATATGTATTAAAGATTAATATACATATTCAAAATACCTAGAATTTTATTTTTTATTACGTATATACAATTACTTTATGAAGAAAAAGAATCAGCAATATTGTCCAAATATCATTTCATCTCCTTGAGCCTCAGGGCTTCACCTATAACATACAGGGCAGGGAAACCTCCGAGAGATCTTGGACTTGTACAGCCCACGATTCCAGAAACTTGACAAGTATGTCAGGCAAAAAGGCTGCTATCAACATTGATATCTTTCTTCCTAAGAACTTTGTTTCTCTGCACTTGGCCCCAGAAAACAGTGTTTGAATTATCTCCAAAAATCTGCATCCGTTAAGATGAAGCATGAAACCTGCTCAACAGGATGAGGACCTCTATGCTGTCGCCTGCACTAAGCCCCTCCCACTTCAGGCCAGGGCTTGCTCTACCTCTATGCTGTCGCCTGCACTAAGCCCCTCCCACTTCAGGCCAGGGCTTGCTCCACCTCTACGTTGTCGCCTGCACTAAGCCCCTCCCACTTCAGGCCAGGGGTTGCTCAGTCAGGTTAGCGACAGTTCTCAGAGAAGGCTTTAAAAAATGAGGATATGATTACCAGCAGTTCATGTTTGCGTTTGCCATGCCACCCAAGGCGTGGATGAGACCCGGGCCAGAAACCACCAGGCATGCCCCTGGCCTAGAAGCGAAACAGAAGGTAGGAGAAGCAGGTCAAATATAACAAGATTTGGAAACACAGATTCTTACAATTGGGAAATCTCAATTAGAACATTATTTCAAAAAAATTTTTTAAAAGACAAATATTATATATCACCTCCCTTAATAACTAAGATAACATCATCACATTGTGATTCACTTGCCTCTTCATACTTTGCACCTAGTATCCTGGAGCTAAATCCAATTGACTG